GGGTGGGGGGGGGAAGGGGAGGGGAGGCAGCAGCCATTTCAGCGCCGTCACCTTGCCTTGCGGGAGAGGGGAGGAAAAAGGCGAGGCCATAAACCTAGCCCCAGACCCCCTGCCCCAGGGGACGGGGGCAACTGCTCTTCCCAGCCACTCGGTCATCCAGCTGGGGGAATTAAAAGTGCACATCTTGACATCTGCTTGTCTACTCTGAAGGTTGTATTCTACCCAGATAAAAGCCAGTCTGCCAACCCTTTTAAGCCAAGGTTATTTTCTTGCTCGGTGCTGTCCAGTTTTAAGTGAATAACATTAGTTGACACTTCATTAGCAAGCACGTTTTACCCAACAGCCAAAACAGAGGCCATGGCTGGACAAATGGCACCTAACCTTTATCCCCATCTGCTGCTGATGGCTGCTGCATTTAGAAAGGAGTTTTGCATTTATGGCAAAAACTTTTTTGCCTGGTACTGGTTTGTCATTACTAAGGAGATGCTTTCCTAAGGGAAGGAAAGCCCATTCCAGCTGCCACGCTGATCACTGAGGCTGCTATCATCCACTCCACCTGGATGTCATGGTCCATAGCTGGCTAAGAAACCTTAGTTTGTCCTTTTCCTAGGGGCCAAGTGCACCTTTCAGATACCTTAGTCTGTCCACACGTTAAAACTGTATTCACCAGTTGCCAGCATCCACAATACGTTCCCTTGCTGCCATGCCACACAGCACTGCCCCACCCCTGCTCCGTGCTTCGCCTACGCAAACTTCACAGCCAGCACCTGGCATCCCGCTGGTGCACAGCACTGCTCCATGTGCAGTGCCCCCATCCTGCCGTGTAGTATTTGCCTGTATTTAAGAGTATTTCTCCATGGCCACCATCAAAACGCCGCACTGTGATTCCTCACATAAATCACTTGGTTCTTCATCCTCCCAGTCCCTGCGCCACAGACTGCGCCACCTAGATACCAGCATCTCATGGCACTTTCCTTACTTGCTCATGTCCACCTTCAGACAAACCTCTTCCTGGCTGCTTTGTTGGGACAACCTTCACCTGCTGCTCCAGTCATCACCTCATGCAGAACAGCCCCATAATACAGGGCATCCTTGATCACTAAGCCATCACTGCCTCCTTAGGGGAGGAGGGGAGCAATCAGAGATTCACGAGGGAAGAAAGTCTGGAGATACAAAGATTCATTTGGCTGTGAGCCATCTAAAATAAAGTTAAAACCTCTGTTTAGCCTGTGGACTGTAATTTTATTTTTATTTTTTAACCATTGCCATGTCCAAAATTCTGATGGAGATGAGCTAATACTTAAAGAAAGGTGTCTTAATCAGTACACGTTGAAGAAATTCAATACTTGGCCTAAGTTCATCCCTACTTTAAGAAAGGGGAAATAAGTATGCTAGTAGAGTACAATGACATACTGGCAAGTGATCTGCCTTCTTTGAAATAAAATTATGTTTATTTTTCAGTCTTACTATCCTTCCTCTTAAATGGGCCATAGCTTGCTACTAAGTCAAAATGTTACTTTGTGCAATGTTGAGAAATTTGAGATCTTAAAGATCCCAAACATATTTCCAGTCTTCTTACATAGTGACAACAAATCAAGCGTGATTAGCAAGAGGAATCCATTTTCAGGATTTGAAAGTTATCAGTTACTTCGCTGGTAAACAAATAAATAGCACAGTGTCAATTCAAACGCTTTTCTAGTTTGAGCTATATATTGTAATTGTTGCAGTTTAGCTTGGTTTTGCTAACTTCTTATGAGATAAAAGTTTGTGGATGTGCTGTTCAGTACTTTTATAATAGTACCTTAGCATATATGAACTACAAAATCAGATCTCAGTTTTTTAAGGCTTTTGCTGGTTAAGACTAGAACATCAAAGCTTTTACTTGAATTTTGCAAAGGTGTAATGAAGATTTTTTTCTTTCTTCATCTTATTCCCTTATGAGAATGAGGTCATTCTTATGTCCTCCACAGATGAGGTAGCAGGATCCAATTGCCTCATACCTCTTTCTGTCAGAAAGTAGTGCAAAAGGAGATGAGGAAGCAGTTTTGGGCTTCTAGGTGCATTTGAAGCTTCTGTTTAGGTGCAGCTGTATCTTTTAGTACTTCAAAAGTTCCAAAAATATACTCCTTCAAGTGAATGGTGACTCAGATTCACAGTTCCTCTCTTAGGCGAGTACAAAGGGCCTCACTTTCTTAAGGCAGATTCTAAAGTTATATCCCTCTCTACTTGAAGAAAGATACAGGGATACACTACCCATAGGGCTGAGACATAAATGGCAAAGACCAACATAAAGTGACCACTTGACACCGCAGTTATATCAGCAAAATTAAATGTTCACAGTACAATGTTCCAAATGAAAAACAGCAAACATTTATGAAAACAGGGAAAATATATCCCTTTGAGTCTTAGAATTGTCATGGAAGATCTGCAGGTTTTATATTCTGAATCAGAAGAGTTTGAAGGAAAATAAAAAGGAACAGCATCTTTGATAATGAGCTTTCTAGACAGAACAGTTCAGAACAAAAAGTGCCTGTTGTGTTATATTGCCTTGACACTTCACCAAGTACTCCTGCATTTCTCTTTTCAGAGGTGTTGTTTTTTTTTTTTTTTT